GCGCGGTTGCCCGGCTCTCTAAATGAACTCCGCCTCGCCTCCCTTCGCTTCGGCCTTGAAAGTGAATACCGCTCCGCCGCGCGGTGCGAAGAGGTGCCGTCTCTGTGGCTAATCGGGGCGGGCAAGGCGGCGCAACTGCTTTCGAACTGCGGTCGAGCCTCGTCCATTGGCCCGTTGCCACAACAACGTTTTGCAGCGTCTTGGGGCGCGCCGAGCGCCGGGTCGGTGTTTCCCTGATTTCTGCCCGCCAAGTTTCGGCCTTCCGTGGGCCCACGGTTTGCGACAATGTCAAACGCATTTCGAAACCGGTCTTTATCCGTGTGGACTTTCGCGTGCCTGGCGCTCGGTTCCGCAAACAAAACGCAAGATTAGCTCGATTTAAAGCAGTTTTTTATAACAGTGCACCCCTGTTCAGCGTCCCACAATGTCTAAAGCCGCTCTGTGTCCCATAAACACAATTGCGCGATCTTCGCTGGCAGCTAAATGGCTCGTGGCGCCCGCTCAATTCTTACGCGCACGATCAAATAACAGCTGCCGGCTGCATACTGTCGTAGGCCGTTCCCGGGTGCGTGCGCCTTGCCGGCGGAAACCCCCCCCCTGCGCGAATAAGATCTGCGCTTACAGCGCTTCGGATGAAAATCTCCTTTCGGAACGCTTCTCTAGTAATCGCGTCTCAATTGATAGGGCAACTTGGCCGCTGGGATGATTAAATCAATATATACCTCTGCTTACGGGCATATGGCCTATGCCAGCGCTTACATGCAGTGAGCCAGCGAGGCCATTTTCCAACGCATCTGTCAAGTGATCTGCCGGTCTGTGCCCCAACATTTTAACTGACAACATAAGACGACAGGCGACTTATTTTCTATTATTCATAGGGATGGAAAAAAACTTTGTTCCATACTTAGAGATTATTAAATATGGATATGTAATATAGATACATGTATGGAGCTAAGGGATACTCGAGAATCACGAAAAATAATTTTTTTACGGTGACGTCAAGAGTCACGTGGCTAGGCTAGTCGAGCCTATTCTACCAATTATAAATAAATTCTTGTTACGCATTCGTATGAAAAAAACCAAGAAGGCAAGATGATGAACATGATGAACATGATGAAACACTGAAAGTTATATTATACTATATTATATATATATATATTTATTATTTATAAGGCATATAGGTATAGCTTATAGCATAAATAGGCTACATAATACTAATTACTATATATGATTTATTAGCATATTTAGTATTATTGGGGCAACCAGGATGTGTGGTAATACGTCATATACTACTACTACGGCTACTAGTAGCTAGCCTATTCATATTATATATAATATGAATCCGATAGAGTGAAAGATTAGATGAATTGATAAAACCGTTATCTGGGACAGAATTTCTTTGGTCTAACAGGTAAATAATAGGCGATATGTCTAGCATACATTATAATAGGCCTACCTATAGCATAATGATGATATACAATAATATAGCATATATGCCATATTATAATGATATCTAGCATATTAGCATATACGGCAGACAGCACAACAGCACCAGGAAGGCCAATATTGGCCAATATCGTTAATCTGGCACCAATAGCATAATATTGGCCGCGACTTACGCATAATCGGCCTGACGGCCCCGGCTTGGCACTTTTTGGGGGGGGGCCCCGCCGCGGGAAAACATCCGGTTTAACTGGCTCCAAGTTGGCAGAAATATGGCATTGGGGCTAAATGATAGCACTTTCCTTGAATATCAGTGTTGGGCTGGGCATTTCTTGAATGAAAAAGATTGTACTATTAATTCTTCGGTTTCAAATAATATTTATTAAATGTACGAAAATGCAATATGTTAAACATTTTGAGGGCATAACATTGCTCGTCGCCGCCAACACAGACGTTCGGCGCTTGCAATGGCACGCGTTACCTCGCCCCGCACTCGCTGTAGCAGGTGACCATCTCTCTTCTGGAGCGTCGCATGTTGACCATGTGAACACGGCACACTGCGCGCAACACCGCTGCGCGTAGCGGTCGGACCGCGGCCGCTTCCCACATCGTCGCGACGCAGCTAGGCCGGCGGGGAACTCACGCGACGCCTTTCGTAGGGTGTCTCGGCGAGCTCATCGCCCGGACTCGAGGGCGACTCGAGCAACCACCGGATGGAGACGACCCAGCATCGCCGCCGCGCGATCCGCCAGAGCGTGTTCAGCCGTGGCGCGGCGCTCGCGATCGAGCGCAGACGGACACAGCTGCTCGTGTCGCAGGCCACACGTCGTCGCGAGACGGACGCGGCCGAGCTTGCGCGACGATGCACGATGAACCAGTCGCTGCTCATCAGCCTCAAGATCGTCAGGACGATGCTGCTGGCTGCTGCTCTGACTACTGTCTTCCATCTTGCTGGCGCGCCCGTTGCTATCGCGGCAGAACTCCTTCTCACGTATCGGCGTGGTTTCCGGGGGCGAGGGTTTGAAGCTCTCTAGACGGGCGCGCCGCGTCGGGCACGCGTCACTCTCTTGAGGATTTCGACGACGCGCTCGTCAAATTCGCGTCATTTCGGGCTGAACTCCACGGGGGTCTAGCTGTCCGCATCGGTCTCATCGCGCGCGTCGACGCCGAGCGTCGCCTGGATGATGCGCTGGTCGCAGGCTTCTGCATGGATCTCCGTGGCAGCGCGACTGCTGCACGTACGTTGGAGTGTCGATCAGCCGACCGTCAAGTCACGCGTACCGCAGAAATTAAAATTAAAACGGACACTCGCGAAATGTACGTCAGGTCCGAATTTGTGAAAAATACTGTATGGTGAAAAATATGGCTGTAATCAGTATATTCCCCCTTGTGTGATCTGCGTTAATTTGTGTAATGGCCACATACTGCCTCCGTCGATTATAACGCACCGGTCTACAGATTCGATCACTGATTGTGACCTTTGATTGAACCGTCACGGTGTGTGTGGATGAAAGAGGACGCACAATAGAATCGACACGGAGATTAAATTACTCTTATGCATCGGCCATCCATCACGGTTTAAATCAAAGAAGAACCATGCACACTAAACTCACTTATGCATAGGTGCGCGATGCGGCTCTATAACTAGTAGGTTGGACTCATGACACAATAGACCGTGAGCGTCAGTAAGGAGCCGGTTAAGAACCGGCCGAACGAGATGAGTCGCGATGAACCAAGACAATCGGAGTCCGTGATGGAAAATCCACCTCGAATCTTAACTAACCGTCCGTTGATATAAAATCCGCAACTTATGCTAAGTCGGCGATTGGGTCGCAGCTGAAATCCATTTGAATCTCGTTAAGAACTGTGAAGCTTGAGTGTGCGTAGGGCCTGGTTGCTAATCGCCCCGAGATGTGGGAATGCTCGCGTGGTCGCGCGAAAACCGAAATCATGCAGTAGCCTGGTTGACCTAGCCATCTCTCGCGTCCGGTGGAGGTCGACGACGGAAGAGCCAGTTGTACAGTGGGTATCAACGCACACACCAATTCAAGTGTGGTGTAGCTAATTTTGGTTAGCTACATTTAATTTTACTCATGACAAAAAGAACTTTTTACATAGTACCTAGCTCAGAACCGTCTTGCTAGGGTTGAAGATTAGACAATCGGTGCCACAGCCTTGTCGGGGCTTAGTACGACAGTACTTAGCGATCTATGGTACAGGCCTCTGGCTAACACACACACATCCCAGCACGGCGGGCAAGGGGCTATGTCCGACCGAGTGACACGTAGGACACCGGCTGGTTGGGGGCGGGAGCGGGGGGCGGCACACAAACATCAACAAAATGTACAATACACCTGTAGCCTGTACACGTACAGTGTAGGCCCGCAACTGCTATACTGATGCTAATTCGTTATCATAGCAGTTTATGAAATCACGACAATTATGTTCCAAACATTAAATATAAAATCATGAGACCTAGGCGTTCATTCAACTACATAGGCCTAAACTGTACGGCTATATGTATGCTATATGCTATCCGTATATGCTTATAATTAATAAATATATATATTAATATTAAGTCTTTCATGTTTTCATATCAATTTCATCATGTTCATGCACTCCTTGGCGCTTCTTGGTCTTGTTTTTCATAGGAATAGTAACAAAGAATTAATTATCGATGGGTAGAATCAGGCTCCGAACTAGTAGACGTGCTTCGTTGACGTGACGTAAAAAAAAATTTTCGTTGTATTTCTGCGTTCTTAGCATCCATACATGTATCTATATAGCATATTCGCATATTTATATAATCTCTTAGTATGGATCATACTATCTCTTTTCATGCTAATTTGGAAATAAGTAGAAATAAGTCGCAGTTTTTCTTATTTTTCATTCTGAAAGTGTTGTGGGCACAGAGCAGCTTCAGCTTTAGCAGAGTGGTTGGAAGATGGCGCTTTCTGGCGTTCACTGTCATAGGCATAGGCCAATGCCCTATCCAGATTATATTATAGAGATCAGTGTTGGGAGCGGGCAGAGTTGAGCGTGATGTATTCTGACGTCACGCGAGATGATACATAGACTCTGATTGGTTCACCAGTCGGTTTGCCTAGGGTGCAGTGTAAAACGGAAAGGCGCGCCCGGCGCTTCGCTCACTCAGGATACCCCATAACAAAAATTGATTGAGCCCTAGACTGGTACTCGCTCCCACCTCGATTACTCGATGGTAATCGAGTAATCGCGAGTAATCGATTATCCCTCACCTAAGCCGTGAGGTGGGACCGGGTACCAGTCTAATTGAGCCCATGAGCGAGAGCGCCATCTGTCGTGGAGTTTGTCTATGGACAGAATCATTGATCTCTATAATATAATCATATATTATGATTATGGCCAGAACACTTTTAGCCAGCGAGTATTCCTTATCCGGTTCCAGTACTGGGTGCAACCAGAGCACATAAATCACCGAGCACGGTCACTTGGCCTTTTTCCATTTTGGAATTGAACTACTAGCGCCACGTAGTTACTGTAGCCGGCGTCTGTCGTTGGATTGATAGCATGGCGACTCTATTATAACGATGGGGAAGTTTCTTATTGTTCGTCATTTGAATCGTTAAATAATCACGAGCCGCAACAGAAATTTGTTTCATCGGGAGGTAATCTAATTAAAAGGAAAGTCGAATTTTGTTATGGGCAGACTAACGACTATAAATAAGTATCAAACAAGCGTAGATGGAGCTTTAAAATTTGTTTACATACCACGCTGTGGGCGTGATTTTTTTTCCTAGGTGAATCAAGAACATAGGGCTGTAATGGGCGCTGCTATATTGGTTGAGCTTATTTTGTCGCTCAATGACATCACAATGTCATAATATACATAGGACATCCAAAACTTTTACTTTCTATATGACTCGATAGCCTAACGCTTACAGGGCGGGCGTCAAGTGTGAAAGGTCGAAGGATCGAATCCCAAACGTTTTCTAATTATTTTTCTGTTTTCTGTATTTTTCTAGCTTTATCTGTTTAACATTTTTTTCTCCAATTAACGCAAATATTTACATGATTTATTTACAACATTTTAATAACAGCAATTAATTTTTACAACAATTAAAAACTGATTTTTTTATATATTTTTTTAAATAGGGTTTGGGTTAGAGTCAGGATTAGGGTTAGGGTTAGGGTTAGGGTTAGGGTTAGGGTTAGGGTCACAATGCAGTGAATGCACCATAAAACAGGAGTTTGAGGCACGTGATTTGTATCAACCAATGGCAGCGCTCGTTAGAGCCCTATGTTCTTGATTGACCTCGGAAAAAAAATCACGCGGGCTGTGGTCGGTAGCCGTGTTAATACTGTTATGTCGAATCTGTGATCTTGCAGCAATACAGTCTTGTCGGGTTATTTACATTACTAATAGTAATACTATCATAGTGACGGGAAGTTGTACTTGTACTAGTTGTAGTTGTTTAGTGACTAGTGTACGTCAGTTGCTGTATACTGATGGATAGACTAATAGTAATAGTAATACAGTGATAGCTAATTGGTAGGCTCTAAGTTGTACTGACTACTGTACTGTGTACTTAGTTCGCCAATGCAGACGTTATAACTCCGCTTTGCTAATCTGAGGGTGCGGGTTTATCGTCTGCATTAATGGGGTCTGCGTCGACTCGGACTACTGTGTACTGGGACCAATAAAATGAAGTTTACATAACCGACAATAAATGTAATAATTAACCTACTAATTTAGCTCATGTATGATGTAGGAACCTCGGCTGCCACACTCGATCGACACCCTGTCCCCGACCCATGCAGTATTTCGTGTTTAAAATCATTTAACATCTAACTGTTGACTCTTGGTTGTTCGCCGCAAATGCCCTACCATAACCTACTATGTATTACTATCTAAATTGTCTGGCTCTCATGAAATGACACCCGTCTGCTAGTTATTCATGCAATACTGCCTGAGCTTTCCTATTGCATTTGGCTTTCTCTTGTAGAAGTTCTCGTGTTTCAAACTTGAAATAATAATGCAGACGGTATCTCAGGTATAGGTGAACCAACTGCTTTCGATAAAAGTGTGTTAATTCAGAACAAACTTTTGTTCCAGTTCAAACAACCCCTTTCCCCGACATCGCCGAGTATGACGAATAGCTCTTTGAAGCTCTGTTTGGGAGTTGGCCCAACTGCAAGGAACCGCGGCCAGCCATCGGATACGTTCCCGGAGGGGGTCTGCCACCTTCGCCACCTCCCGTCATACTTGCATTTGCAGACGATGACACAAAATGTGACTCGTGGGACGATTACTATGAACAGCTCGAGGTGTTTGAGTATCTCCATCCGGGATGCAATATCGTTAACGATAATGTTGTAAACAAACAAAAAAGAGAAGAAAAACGCTTTCTTATTTCCTATCCTCTTTTGCTTCTAACAATGTGCACAAACGTTTTCTTTTCAATTACCTATTAGTTATTTTTATTGTGACGTAGCATTACATTTTGCCCAAGCATTCCCTTATATTAATTAATCACATTGTATGCGAGTTGTCGTAGTTAGTATGACGGTGGAGGTTCTCGCCGCGTAACCTCTTCGCCGCGTAACAGCGTTGCCACATAGCCGCGTAATCGCGTCGCCACATAGCCGCGTCGCAACGTAGCCGTGTAACAGCGTCGCCACATAGCCGCGTAATCGCGTAACCTCTTCGCCGCGTAACCGCGTCGCCACGTAGCCGCGTAATCGCGTCGCCACGTAGCTGCGTAATCGCGTCGCCACGTAGCCGCGTAACCTCTTCGCCACATAGCCGCATAGCCGCGTAACCGGATAATCGGGAAAGGCCTTGTGATTTATGTGCTCTGTCCTAACCCTGATCCTAACCCTAATCCTAACACTAGTGCTGCTACGTTGCGGTTCTGTCCCTCCACGCCCGGGGGATAGCATTTCCCAAAACGGGTCTGTCTCTAATGATAACTTAGTAATTGTAATGTACTATTGTTTATGAATCGTTTTGCCGGGTGGAGACTGCATGGAGAGGGACTCCGGATTCTAGGAATAAACGTGGAGATTGAGTTTCGTATATCTGCGTCCTCTAATTGATTGGAGTAAGAGTGATGTGAGATAAAGATATCTACCCTAATTGATGTGCTAAGGGAGATACAACAGTAATGTACGTAATAGTAATGTATTCCGTCATGACGGTCAAAGTCCGAGTATATGCAACAGAAATCTCAGAACAGACTTGTGTTCGTACGCGATGTTTCATGTTGATAAACATTGACGTCATATGCGCACATGTGCAGTTTAATAACGGTTGGCAGCAAGCAGATGCGTGATATTGTTCGATATGTAGCAGATTCGCTTTTAGGATCGTGCGTTTCTGTAGCGGGTGTTATAGTTTTATCTCACGCGAGATGGTGCTAGTGGGGGTGTCCCGCAATGAACAATTTGTGTGTACCCTCCGCGATGACAGTTCGAGATGGTAAAAACAATAGGCAAAAAACAGCACGAAAAGGGAGACACGCGGGAGGTTATGGCGGATCAGCTGCGTTTTTAGAATGTGTCCGTAATCAATCATGCATGTGCATAATTACTAGAGTGTTCGGGATTTGTGGTAGCAGATCTTTGTAGTGCGCGTACTAGTACTTCTACTAGTGTGGTATGCTAGTGTGGTATGCGTGTGGTATACTGGTTTTCATGTACGTAGGATACAGTAGGATTCATGTACGGAATGTATACTGATGGTGTGATAATTATATGTAGCTGGCGTGTGTGGTCACTGCGGTGAGTGTGCGCAGACACATCGGATGTTGTGAGTGAGCTTACACTCGCGTTACTACAGTTTAAGCTAACGCTGACACTCGCGGGTTGTTCCTCAATTCACATTGCCCCGCGAACCAAGATTTCGCATATTTTGTACACCAGGGGGCGCCACCGAAAGTTACACCCCTTGTTAGACAGTCTATACAGTATAGCAAAGTGATCTGTTATCCGAACTTATTTGTCATGTATAGGCACTGGTGTTCAAATCGAACTTAGTGATTATTACTATTAGATTGCGTGTTACGGTGGCGTGATGGTCTTACGCGTCAAATCGCGCGCGATGATGACTCGAGTCTGGCTCGGAGCGAACGTGCTGCTGTCGCTGTGTTGGTTAATGTGTTAATTGCTTGTTAACTTTAGCACGCGTTACCTAATAAATATTAAACTTACTTCCTATTTATTGCTTATTACTTCTCACTTCGTGACCGGCATCCCCCCTTCGTATCTCTCACTGGACGACCGGAACCCCCCCCCCTTTCTCGGCGTTCGGGTGTTTGGCTGCCTCTGCCTCGTCGCGATTCTTGTGATCGAACCTAGATAGGACGGGAAGTAACGGCCCTGTCAGGGTGCTCGACACAACGGCAACCAAACTTATACCACGGCCAATAGTAGTGCTCAAGTAGTCAAGTAAAGTAAAAGGGAATAGGAATCCGTTAGAGTGGTGCCGTGACCAGGATCGCGGCGTGGGCAGGGCGAGCAATGGAAGGAGGAGAGAAGATATGGCGTGTTAGAGATGGAACACGAGGAGTGAAAATGAAAGTTGGCAGCCGGTCGTAAGCTGCTGGCGAAATTTCAGAGGAGAGTGTTAGAGATGGAACACGAGGAGCGAAAACGAAAGTTGGCAGCCGGTCGTGAGCTGCTGGCGAAGTTTCAGAGGAGAGTGTTAGAGATGGGACACGAGGAGCGAAAACGAAAGTTGGCAGCCGGTCGTGAGCTGCTGGCGAAGTTTCAGAGGAGAGTGTTAGAGACGGGGGACGAGGAGCGAAAACGAAAGTTGGCAGCCGGTCGTGAGCTGCTGGCGAAGTTTCAGAGGGCAAAGAAGAAAGGCAAGAAGCGTAAGGTGGTGACAGGCATGCGTGACGCGGAGGCAGTTTCAGATGCATAGAGCGTCACATCCACCACCTCCGCTACCTCTTGCCTGTATTATGAGAGCGATCAATCCTTGTCAAGTGCAGACGAATCGGCTGATGAGGTGGTGCCACACGGTGGCGGCGACCGTCGGAAGCCGACGCTGCACGACATGCAGGAGGTTCTCGAGGAGCACTGTCTTCTAAAGAAAGTGCTGAGCGGAAAGGAAGCTACCCTGAGCAGCTTCCAAGAGGAGCTGCACGAAAAAGAAACTACTGTTTCCAGCCTAAAAGAGGAGCTACTTGAGAAGGAAGCCTTGCTGTCCTGCCTGCAGGAGAAGCTGAGTGACAAGGAAGCCTCGCTGTCCGGCCTGCAGAAGAAGCTGAGTGAGAAGAAAGCCTCGCTGTCCGGCCTGCAGAAGGAGCTGAGTGAGAAGGAAGCCTCGCTGTCCGGCCTGCAGAAGAAGCTGAGCGAGAAGGAAGCCTCGCTGTCCGGCCTGCAGAAGGAGCTGAGTGAGAAGGAAGCCTCGCTGTCCGGCCTGCAGAAAGAGCTGAGCGAGAGGGAAGCCGCGGTGA